TAACCCAGCAGTTGGGTTGTTTTGAACCCAGCGGTTGGGTTGTTTTGAACCCAGCGTTTGGGTTGTTTTGACCCAGCGGTTGGGTTGTTTTGAACCCAGCGTTTGGGTTGTTTTGACCCAGCGGTTGGGTTGTTTTGAACCCAGCGTTTGGATGTTTTGAACCCAGCTATTGGGTTGTTTTGAACCCAGCGTTTGTGTTGTTTTGACCCAGCGGTTGGGATGTTTTGAACCCAACCGCTGGGTCAAAACAACCCAACCGCTGGGTCAAAACAACCCAACCGCTGGGTCAAAACAACCCAACCGCTGGGTCAAAACAACCCAACCGCTGGGTCAAAACAACCCAACCGCTGGGTCAAAACAACCCAACCGCTGGGTCAAAACAACCCAACCGCTGGGTCAAAACAACCCAACCGCTGGGTCAAAACAACCCAACCGCTGGGTCAAAACAACCCAACCGCTGGGTCAAAACAACCCAACCGCTGGGTCAAAACAACCCAACCGCTGGGTCAAAACAACCCAACCGCTGGGTCAAAACAACCCAATAGCTGGGTTTGTCCCTTTTTAACCCAGCGCTGGGTTATATTTAACCCAGCATTTTTTAGAGTGTATATATTTATGACAGTTTCCTGTAAAGTGTGTTGCAATTGTTTAGAGACTGATGCAGCAAGAAAGTAATAGAGGACAAAGAAATATGTTACAGCTGCCCTTTATCCAATTCTAATGTAGATTTTCCTTTTTAACTTTTTTGGTTAATGTATCACTAACCAGCATTTGCTGTTATTCCTCATGCAGCGGTGTGATTGTATTTATTCTCTGTAAACACATCTGTGGCATGCATAACCAATGAAAATAATTCATCATCTGCAACAAACAGTGTTACACGATGCGGCAAGACATCAGAATTGAGACGTGCTTATCCATACAAAACGTGTTGTTTAAAATATAAGTGGTTCCTTTAAGTGGTGAGATGACTATAATGTTTTAGTTATGTGTCACACATCATAATTACAGGTGGAGTTTTCCGCAACAGTTCTTTACACATTATTTTCTGGTATGCTAGTGCACCTTTCCAAATTTACATGATGAAAAATCAGCATATTCTTGCCCGGACGTTGTTAGTATGGGATTTTACCCAACTAGTCGCATATTAACACATCTAATGTTTAAGACTTGACTTTGAAACAATATGTATTTTAATATTTAACCTGGTACAATGCCCCAATGGACTTCCGTATAAAGTGCATTATTGCAAAATATATTTTTAAATTTCATCTATTATATATTATTATTAGTTTATTAAATATATTCTTTCATTAGTTTGGTAACACTTTAGCACATATTAATGTCTTATTCTACATGGCCATATTTTAGATCCTTTAATCCTACCCCATAACTAAACTTAACTTACTGTTAATAAGCAGCAAATTAGGAGTTTATTGAGGAAAAACTCTTAGTTAATAGTGAGAATTGCTCCCCAAACTAAAGTGTGACCATTAGTTTATTAAATTGTTTAGCAGTGTTGGAGGTAACACATTACAAGTAACCTGAGTTACATCATCAGATTCGTTTTTACTTTTAAATGTACAACAATATATATTTTTCTTTTTCAAGTAAGTAATGCAAGTTACTTTGTTCTCCCATTTATTACTCCTCTCCTGTCCCCGTGTTGAGAGAAATTGGGAGTGAGGTGCAGAGGCACTTCCTTCAGTCTGAGGCTTATTAATTTCACTTTTGGTGTGAAAGGGCCTTTACAGTTGCCAAAAATATAACTTTTGGGTTTTTCGTTATTAAAAACAAATAATCAAGCCCAGCCAGGTGACAAAAAGTAACGCAAAAGTAACGTAATGCATTACTTTCCATAAATGTGACCCTGGACCACAAAAGCAGTCTTAAAGGTATAGTTCACCCAAAAATGAAAATTTTATGTTTATCTGCTTACCCCCAGGGCATCCAAGATGTAGGTGACTTTGTTTCTTCAGTAGAACACAAACGAAGATTTTTAACTCAAACCGTTGCAGTCTGTCAGTCACATAATGGAAGTGAATGGGAATCACGGCTTTGAGAGCCAAAAAAAACATACACAAACAAAACCAAATAAAACCCTGCGGCTCGTGACGATACATTGATGTGTAAAGACACGAAACGATCAGTCTGTGCAAGAAACTGAACAGTATTTATATCGTTTTTTTACCTCTGATTCACGCAATGTCCGAACTGTCTTGAGCGGTGGCGCATCCTCCTGAGCGTGTTCTCAACAGCAGGCGTGTGAGGCGTCTTCTTCTTGCTTTACCGCCACCTATCTCTCAAATGGACCATTGACACTCCTAAGATTGTATATAGAGTAACTTGAGATTGTAGATAGAGTAAGAAGAAGACGACGCCTCACGTGCCTGCTGTTGAGAACACGCTCAGGAAAACGTGCCGCCGCTCAGGACAGTTCGATTTAATTTGGTTTTGTTTGTGTATGTTTTTTTGACTCTCAAAGCCGTGATTTCCATTCACCTCCATTATATGACTGACAGACTGCAACGGTTTGTGTTAAAAATCTTCGTTTGTGTTCTACTGAAGAAACAAAGTCGCCTACATCTTGGATGCCCTGGGGGTAAGCAGATAAACATAACATTTTCATTTTTGGGTGAACTATCCCTTTAAGTCGCTGGGGAATATTTGTAGCAATCACCAAAAATACATTGTATGGGTCAAAATTATAGAATTTTCTTTTATGCCAAAAATCATTAGGATATTAAGTAAAGATCATGTTCCATGAAGATATTTTGTAAATTTCCTACTGTAAATATATTAAAACTTAATTTTTGATTAGTAATATGCATTGCTAAGAACTTCATTTGGACAACTTTAAAGGCAATTTTCTCAATATTTAGATTTTTTTGCACCCACAGATTCCAGATTTTCAAATAGTTGTATCTCGGCCAAATATTGTCCGATCCTAACAAACCATACATCAATATGGAAAGCTTCTTTATTCAGCTTTCAGATGATGTATAAATCTCAATTTCGAAAAACTGACCCTTATGACTTGTTTTGTGGTCCAGGGTCACAAATAGTAACTAAGTAACACGATTAGTTACTTTTTTATGGAGTAGTGAAATATTGTAATGCATTACTTTTAAAAATAACTTTCCCCAACACTGTTTTAATTATTATAAAATACACCATAATCCAAGGTTTACTAAACATTTCTGATCATTAAGGCTTATAGTTTAAATCCCATTTCAACATTAAACATAGGATCCTATACGGATCCTCACTGAAAAACCCTCATCTTTACCTCCAAATTAGCAGGAAAAGTAGCAAAAATGTTGTTATGCTGCCACCTGCTGGTACTCCTCAGATATTGTGTATGGACTGTATTCCTCTTTTTCTTTTCCTCTTGTGTGTTTTTAGCTTTCGCCACTCATTCTGACGAGATAAAAACAGCCGTTCTGAAATCAAAACGCAAAACACAACCACAGCTGCTATAATGTCTTTATTTCAGCACGATCTGGCTACCACTACAATGGTATCGACCTCCAGAACATAAAGATAAAAAAAAAGAAAGAAAGAAAATGGCACTCGACTAGTACAATACTGCTACATACAGTACACACATTTATAAAATGGAAACCAATATTCTCTATACACTAAAGTATGTACATCTTTGATAAATTAAACCAATACTGCTTAGATTGAACATTTTGCTTGAAGAATAACTGAAAGGATGACTGGAGAAACGCAAGCAGGCACTGGAGCATCTTCTGATTGAACTGCCATTGACAGTCTTTACTGACACTGAACTTGAATTTGTTTGTAGGCACATTTATTCATTTTATTAAAAGCATTTTATTGGAAGGTCCAAACACTCGATGACCTCACATAAAATAAAAACCATATGCTAATAACCGTCCTGTCTGTCTGAGAGGTAGTACCAATGCATGATATCCTGGTAATGGTGATATCCCATCCAGTCTTTCTGCTTACGTGTTACAATGCAAACCCGGCTGCCAATATTCACAGCACTGCAGCAGCTTCTCACAACATGCTAAATAAGCATGTCGCATTTCAAGACATTGGCGTCTGCTGAGAAAATAAACAAATGCCCATGGAGCCGTTTACCGTTAGGGGCTAATCAATCTGCCAACATATCTAGGGTGATTTCCCACCCTCCCTACAAAGTTGGATTTCCATTGCAAATTATAGAAGTCTCTTGGAAAATGTTTTTTTTTTACAATTAAATACACAAATAAACCTCTGAGGACTAGACCGCTTGTGCAAGATTTAAAAAAAAAAAATTGCCTGTACATATCATCAGCACGAAGGAAATCTTCCTTTTCCGATGCGTGTAGGAGCTTCCGTTTGGTTGTCCACATTCTGTCAGACCTGCTGATTTCAGATAATGCAAGAGTGTGCGTGTGTGCAAGAGACGAGAGGTATAGAAAGAGGACAGAGCGAGAGAAACAGAAAGAGCGTATTTTGGTTAAGCATGAGGAAAAATGTTCTCTTTGGGGGTTTCGAGAAAGCAGCAGCAAGCAAAAAGCCTACTGACTTCCTTCCAACACACACACACACACACAAGCACTTGAGCTGAGCAAGAAGACGTTTAAAAAGAGGTGCCAAGTCTAGCAAGGTTTGACCTCGCTGATCCGGTCTGGTTTCTTTCTGAAGCTGGGGTTGTTTTTCTCTTTGCACAGCTCAGTTGTCTCCACGAGAGGGAGCCGTTCCAGTAGCCCTGAATCTGTAACACCAGCGTCCTGAGCAGCTCTAGTGTCTCTTCATAGAGGAGACCTTCTTCTTCCTCGCTGCCAGCATCTCGTAGAAAGGATCTCTACTGATGGCCGCCCTGGAGACAAAGAGGAAGAACATTATGAGAACTTCCTCTCTTCTAATGTTAAAGCTAAAGCTTGTTCAGTTAGGGTTAAATAACACTTAATATATAGTAATATTATTAATTTTAAATTACACTATTAGATGAGAAAAAAATTTGATCTGAATTGAGCTGAATAATGACACCATTGTCTTCTGTAGAGGTGCTTTATAGCTCAACTGAACTCATTTCCTATTTGATGAACTTTACTATATTGACACTGTAATTGAATTACATTTAATCAACACTGAACTGAATAACTTGAGCTGAATACCGACACTATTGTCTTCTGTAGAGCTGCTCTACAGCTGAAATTCAATTTGTTTCATAACTGAATTTTGCAACATTAAAAGACTGTTATTTTCCTCTTTATTACTTTGAAGCAACCTGTGCTGTATAAAGAGCTCTATAAATCAGACAGTCATTTTCCAAAAAAAGAGAAAAAAACAAAGGCACTAAGTGCAAATAATGATTTTATTTGCACTATGTAAAGATCGCAGTATTTTCTTTGCAATAAATGTAAATAGTAGTTAGATGCTATTTATAGGCAACTTAGCGCAAAAAATTGCAGATATTTGCACCTCAGTATTGTAGTACATTATAAAACAGTATGCAATAACATATTGAGTGTAAATTATCATTTTTTTTAATTATTAAATGGATTCTGCCTTATTGGGACAATAAAGCCCTACCTTTATTATTAAATAACCATGAGGCATTTATTTCCACTTTTTGAATGTTTCCTCCATTTTTATTGAAAATAAATGCCTTCCCGATCTGAAATACAGTGTTCTGGCATGAAACTCTAGATGGCGCAGTCCGATAGGTCTAACTCAATCTGACCTGGCGACATCATTGTCACTTGGCAGCCGATTGGTTCTCTCCTGTATCGGTAGCCAATGAGCTTACTCCTCAATATTCAAATACCTGGCTTTAGTTTGCTGTGGCAGTTTTCAGAAATCCTCCACCTTCCCCAGCTCCACCTGTATAGATCTGCTACGAGGTGATTCATGTACGCTATATGGGGGTTATTTCATGCATGTTATATGTGCAGCAGCAGTATTTCTTACATGCTCACAGCAGCATGTTGTGGATGTATTGGCAGTAGCAAGTCTCGGTACTTGCTCTGCCGCAGCAGCAGCGTAGCAGATCTATTCCACCAAGACCAAATACATTAACATTGTCATGTACATTACCATGCCAATCCCTCCGAGAGTTGTCATGACAGAAATATGGTCAATCGGGCCTTTTGTCCTATGCCACTGCTATTGTTGTTTAACATTTGTAATGCTGTCTATCCCAACCAGACATTGGTCTGCCGACAAGGTGGGCTATCTGCACTTTGTGTAAATAGACACTCCGAAATATAAATATCACAACTTAAATTTACATTAAATATTGACTTGTGTAAGAAGAAAGTGAGAGTGTGGAGTCATATGAGAGACATAAAACTAGTGAAAAAAATACCACAAATAAGCTGCATTTAAACCAGAATATCCCTTTAATCAAACACATATCTGTATTTAGATGAGTAACACTCACTTAATGCTGTTCATCCATTCATCCTTCTCCTCGACGGTGGGAGCAGAGATGCGGTAGAAAGTGTGGTTTCCTTCAACGACCCGTCCGTCCGCCTCGGTCTTACATGCCTTGATCACCTGGTCTTTATTGTCAGGGATGAAGAGCTCAAAGCAATTCTGAGAAGCAAACACGGGCAGACAATCACATATCTGACCACTAGGGGGAGACACGGTGTAAACTGTGCCTAGATAATCAGGAAAAGTTCCTGTCTCTGCAGTTTAAAAATTGCTGAGAAGGATGTTTTACCGGCTTCTTGTCCTCCACTTCACGGATGCTGAGGTTTTCCAGGGGGATGATGCCTCTTGGTTCTTTATCCTACATGAAAAGAGCCAAATGGGTTTCCATTTATCACAATTCACCGTGGACCACATGATAAAGAATGTGTGAATTATATCTAAACTAAATTCCTAACTGACTCTGTCATAAGCACCATCTTGAAAACGTTCTTGACGAGTGCTTCATTAGCACTGTTGCCATCCTCTAACTTGTATCAAAGTTATAACGATTGGTTTCAAATGAGGCCTTACTCTTTTCAGTGACTGAGAAGCATTTGCCTCCATTATGATGTACAGTCTGCACAATTTTTAATACACACAACTAATTAAAAAATTCTATAAAGAAAAAAGCAGATAAAAAGGCGTTTTAATGTTACAATTTATAGCAGGCCACATACAAATCAATTCAAAATCAACAAATGTTTACTACTTATAAGCACATTTGACTGAAAATCAAGCTGTTAATGGAAAAGTGTCAAAGGGTAATTTACATGAAAACACTACAGACTAATAATACATTTTTATTTTTTAACTTTTCAACTTACAGTAATGCCACTATTTTAGTTCAATTCGCATAAATTATCATTTTAAATTAGATGAGAAGTGAGAAATGCATAGCATGTATATGTTACTGTTAGACATGGCCCAAAAGATGTTTCTTCAGTACTTACAGTAGTGTACTCAAAGTAGTAAAGGCAGTTATCTGTGAGAATGAACCACCGTCTTTTCCAGGTTTTGACGCGTCCTCCTGAGGAACAAAAGATGAATGTTAGTTTTCAGTGCAGTGAGCTGGCAGACGTCACAGATCCGTGCAGCTGAAGACTTTTGAGCAGCAGAAGAGCAGACAGACAGATGAACAGACAATGAGAGCTCTTCTACAGCGACTCCATGTCCAATAAGGCCCAAGCACAGCATTCCTTACCAGCAGCACACCATGCTCAAACCAGCCGCACTCATGAATCAACCTTCACAGCTATCAGACATCACCCGATAGCTGCCATTCCTCTTAACCCCACTGAAAAATTCTGTTTACCTCCTAAAAGACCAGCCAAAGGTAAAATGTGTTTAAACGGAGCTATATTCTCTATAACCAGCTGATGTTTGCTATCCAGACATACAGAGAGGTTGTCATTTCCTAAACTTGTCTTCTCCTCAATCGTCTCCCTATTACTATTAACCTCTCAATTAACTAACAGACACAATTGTGTTCGTAAACTGCTGTGACAAACTCTGACGGCAGGTCAGTGCAGCACCGGTTAAGCTCACATTCTTAGGACATTTCCCCATGTCCCTCTCTCTATAGGGACTGCAAGGTAAACACAGTGCTCGGTGATCCGAGAATGACCTCTGACCTGTGCCACCCTCGTTTCCTCTGCAGGGAAACCTGATCACAGTGGCAAAGGAGATGCCATCAAACTGAATAAACTGTATAGTGCAACCAAAAACACTTTTAACTGTGTATCAGGGTAGTTGAAGCAGAGCGTATCTGTAGACATCTTTAAAAAAAATCATTAAATCAATAAATATTTATACATGGGGCAAACTCTATTTCCAGCTGTTCAGAATTTCCTTTGAATTCATGAATTGAATGCATGCATAATGATTATAAAATAAGTAGCAACATGTTGTTTAGGCCTGTCATTTATCATTATCTAATTATGATACTAATATAAAAACACTCCAGTTTTACTGTTACTTAACATCCACATCATGCTACACATTCTCGGTCCTTAGAGTTTTATTGATTTATTTATTTATGAAAATAATAAAACTCTTTACGCTTTAAAGTACGAAGACACTTCTTAAGTTCTTCATACAAAATAAAGGCTTGTAGGTTCAATTATTATATTGTGTTATATTATATTACAAGTCAAAACTTTGGAATAATTAAGATTTTTTTAATGGTTTTAAAAGAAGTCTCATGCTCAACAAGACTGCATTTACTTGATTTAAAAAATAAATAAATAAAAAACATTATTATTGTGAAATATTACAATTTAATGTATAAATTAGCAGCAATAATAATCAATAATAACTGAGCAACAAATCAGCATATAGTGATTTCTGAAGGATCATGGGACACTGAAGACTGGAGCAGACTGAAAACACAGGAATAAATTACATTTTAAAATATATCAAAATAGAGAACAGTGATTTAAGTTGTAAAAATATTTCATAATATTGCCTATTTTACTGTATTTTTATATTCGATTATATTAATAATTATATTATATTATATTAATAATTATATTATATTATATTATTCAGGTTTGCTGAGCTTCAGTGTGAATTTAAATCGAACCAAGATTAAAGATGAACAAAAAAAAGAAATATTTCAACTTTTAAAATATTATTTTCACAGCAGTAAAGAAAATCAAATGGGTATATTTAATTACATGTTTTTATGTAAAACAAAAAAATTGTCAGAAAAAAAAAAAAAGCATGATCGTGACAGGCCTAATCTTGTTTAAATTAGTTTTCTATGTAACACAGCACTGCACACAAGCAGGGCATGTCAACCACCCGAAAGCATTTCAAGCATTTCTGCTAAACAGGAAATTATCCTCCTGCACTACAGACTGCTATTGTATTTGAATCTTGGCATAAGCGACAAACAAAACAAACACGAATCAGAGCACTACAGCAGGTGAGAAGTTTCTGAGCAAGCTGATTGAGTTATCGGCTGGGATTAATGATCACTCCCAGTTGCGGTCGTACAGCAGAAACCCCGTCCAGAAATGCCTCTCAGAGGGAGGAGATTTGTGGAGGGGGACGTGAAGAGGCCGTGCTGGGCTGCAGAGAAGGCTGACTGACACAGGGCTGGGTGATGGATGGGCGTTCAGATGTCTGACGTGACAACAAAAAGGCTCAATCTTTAAATTCCTTTTAGAAGTTTTTATTATACGTATGCTAATGTATGTGCTAATCTCATATTCTTGACTTGTAAGTGAATCAGAACACTTCAGATATGGTTTTATTTTGGATTCAGTGATGTCTGATTCATGAAACCCACCCTCACCCAGCATCCTAGTGGTGAGTCCGATCTGACCAAATACACACACACTTTCCTCAGCGGTGCAGTCCAGCATTACACACACACACACACACACACACCCCTATAATTTACATACAGCATGAAGAACAGCAGTCTTTGGTCCAGATGCAGTTTTCTGACTCAGTCTAATCAGATCAAACACCACATCTTGTACATTCAATCATTAACAGTTATATGACTGAATATCATTTTAAAAGGAACAGTTCACAGAGAAAAAAAAAAAATCTGTCATCATTTTGTTCCAAACCCATATGAGTTCTTCTTCAATAAAACACAAAAGAGCATGTTTAGAAGAATGTCCAAGCTGCTCTTTTCCATATGAATAGGAGTGGGCAATATGACCACATTCTTATATCACGATATGAACTATTTTATTTTATGATATATATATATATATATATATATATATTTACTTTTATGATTTTAATCAGGGTCGTCTTATATTCGGGCCAATACGGTACCAAAATAATAATTTTTGCCTAAAATAAGGTTATTTCACAATACTCGACACCTCACTGCAAAAACGAATACTAGTCTAAATGTGGCCCAGTTATCCTAAACCATATCTGTAACCATAATGTAAGTAAAAGCTTACTGAAGACATTATTGTCAGTAAGAAAATATGAACTAAAAAAAGAAAACTAATTCTAGTCTAGTCTATCTTTTTCAGGTCCATCTATCAAAAATAAGAAATACAACAGAAAAGGAATAAAGTAATCAAATGTTTTTTTTAAAGCATAGTCTTTTCTACATTACTTAAATATACATTAATTCTTATTAAATCTACAAAATGTATTCAGTCAAGAGCAGTGAGTGAATTTCTCTTTGTCTTTTGTTGTTTGGGGGGGGTGTACAATGCTGTTTCATGCATTCAGAGTTGTTTACACTGTTAAAGAGTTTGATTCTCATGCTAAGCATGGACAAAGTTTCAAAAAACAATTTGGACGTATGACGGAGTATTTCTGTGCCAAAAATCTTACTTCCGGGTTCGTACAAGTTTCGGAGAGTTTTTTTTCGATCATGGCTCTTAATGACGTAAACGAGTGTGAAACTCTTTATATGGGCATTTCTCCCGGAAGAACGCGCCCGCGAACGCATCGACCAGAGCAAGAGCGAGATCGCGCCCATCAATGCTCTTCATCCGGCGGCAGCGCTGCACGGGACTCGCTCAGGAGGAATGTCTCCAAAGAAGTGTGTTTTTGTTTGTAAGGGAAAGATAACTTTGTTCAGCTTCCTAAAGAACCCAGCGTTATGTAAAAAGTGGATGCAGTTTGTTTTTCCGGGTGCAGCAACGGAGTTTCACAAGTGTGTTTGTTGACGAACGTTTTATAAACAAGGCCCAGTTCGACGCTGGATTTGCACATCGTTTGATACTGAAAGATGGAGCGGTCCCAGCTATAAAAGTCATGAGTCAGAACTGCTCATCAATCTTTAGCTCCGCCCACGGCGCTCCTCCAGGAGCTCGGCTGTTTCCGGAGAGAATCGTAAAGCTGTATCTTTCTTTTATAAATATGATAAAACTAAAGACTTTTTGAAGATATGAAGACTGCAGTACTACTTTATAGGTACTCAAGATTAACATGAGATTGGGTGAAACTGTGTGTGTTATGTCACCTTTAATTATAATTACACAGACAGTAGCAGGTGTGTTAGGCTGCTGTCACTTTAAGACCTAATGCACGGATCTAATATACTAAACTGATAGACGTGATTCTCTTTCGTAGTTGGACGGTTTAAAACCACTTGAATGCTTAAATTGGTATGGCTCAAAATTTCAGGCAAATGTTAAATCTTTAATTGGTTTCAAAGGTTAAAATGTTAGCCTGACCGCAAAAGAGACGATAATCCAAAACCTCTAATGTTGACAAATTTACACCAGTTTATTGTGTCTACCAGTATATCGCCCAACTCTACATGAATCTGAATGGGGACAGATGCTGTATTCCTCAGGAGAAAATCATATGAGTTTGGGACAACATGAGGGTGAGGAAACGATGACAGAATTTCCATTTTTGGGTGAACTATGCCTTTAGTCTGCTTTTGTTGCGGTTTTCATCAGTGTTTGTTGGGCTCTGTTCAGACTGAGAGGAAGCAGAAAATACTGCAGCTCCCAAAGTGGAAATGACACAGAGAGAACGTTTCGAATACCACAGCAAACAGAGAGAGGTGCTCTTCAATACGCTGGTCACAAAATCAAAAACCAAGCACCCACCACCACGCTGAGACAAGGACAAAAATCGTTGATTCAATGAATAAAACGAGTGACCAGACAAACAAATGAAGGAACATGTAATAATCAGGTGCTGGTCACAAAATCAAAAACCAAGCACCCACCACCACGCTGAGACAAGGACAAAAATCGTTGATTCAATGAATAAAACGAGTGACCAGACAAACAAATGAAGGAACATGTAATAACTAGAGTAAACTCAGAGAAAGACAAACCCCATGGGAAAAAATAAATAAATAAACCTATGGTGGCTAATAACAGAAAGAGGGGACAGGAAGCAAGGCTGATCACCAAAAGCACCTGAGAGCGGAGAGATGAGCGATTGCTTGGGAAGAACAGGTGTACATACCTCCTGAGGGAAAGACAACAGCCAAAATCATGGGAACAAACAAACAAACGAGGAAGAAAAGGAAACAAAAAAATTAAATTAAATAGGAAATCGTACTCCCCACACGCTGCCTTCTCTGATCAAAGGAAGAACTTGTGCATTTCTTGTTATTGTGAATTACGGAGGACCGTTCCAAAATAAAACAGGGGATACAAGTACAAATAATAATTCACACAATTTAACACAGCTTTCCTGTCCATATCAACGAAGAGGGAAAATGTCTCTGGGTGCAGTTTTGTTTTCAGGGGTCTTTAACCTTTTTCAGTCCATTTTAAGCATGGTCTATAATCATATGCTATAGTAAAATACTAATGAATTTCCTTTGTTTTGATGCGAATACGGCAAAGCTATTAAAATGATTATCACTGATGTATATGCATGAATCATATTTGTGTAAATTATGTTATCTTAATTAATTACAATATGGTAGTCAACTTTGGTGACCAACTTTTGAAGTTAAAAATTACATTTTTGTTGCATATGTGTATTGTCATTTCAAACAACCATTGGCAGGCTCTCTGTGATACCTCGATGAAGATCCCCGTCATAAATCATTCGCTTGCATGACGTGAATTTATGCTTTCTATGAAGTCTCTATAATGCTCTAAAGCTGTGGTTCTCAACCAGGAGGCTTTAAAGAATTATAAAAGTGTGATTCCTAGACCTGGAAAAGTCACATCAATTAATAAAATCCAGCTCCTTGGGAAATTTTGATACATGAATAACACATTTTTCTAGTTATGCATAAATATAGAAGGTGCACTCATATGTGTGTTTATCAGTATTCACGGATACACCTTTAATGAGCATAATTCATTAAAATAACAACCTTGTGTTATAACCAAAAACTGCAGATTGCCAAAGGGTAACTAGGGTATTACGATTATGAATAGATCAGGTTATTAGGTTATGAATAGATTTCTAAAACATTACATATACAGGCTGCCCATCTGAAGGAGCGGTTTCTCTTGCACCTTTCAAGACAGGACTCTGATTTCTAACATCCAACTGAATTATGTCTAATTCTAAAAGGATGCGTTCAGCCTCAAGCAGCTGATTCATTGTGATCACGAAGAGTCATTACCTTCATATGATGTGAGAGGAGATATTGATCCAGCGTGAGAGAAGAGGGAAAGATGTGCTACTGTATAATCTGATGCATGGATGTGTTGTGAAGATCATAAAATGGGCTTTCGGGAAGTGTGTGTACATGTGTGTAAATCTCACACTCAGTCCATGTGTTTGAGCAGGACATCTCTTATTCAAAGGTAAATATATCTGAGAGTTGAGTTGCACGATCATCACAAAAATGAATACATATTTTGACTCAAGTAGTCCCACTCACCCAGTTTGAGCAGCCAGCCCTCTCTGTCTGGGTTGAAGAAAGTGTGCGTCAAGTCATTGCCGTCATCCTCAGGGATTTTGAAGGGCTCGTTCTTGATGCTCTCATATAGATTCTGTCAAAGCAAAATACCATGAAGTGCATGCAAGTTATTCATTCAGAATGGTTGGGCAAAGTCCTCAAGAAAGTGGGTGCAACCATGGCCTACTTACCATTTCTAACCTTATTTTGCACATTATTCATTAACATAATCAGTGACTACATTTCTATAATAATTTTTCAATTGTCATGCTGGAAAATTCATAAACATGTTTGAAAACACATTATATTCCAACCAAGAAGCATACTCTTTCAAAGAGACAGGCAGAAGCTCAGCCTTTTAAAAAATATATTTATTTATATGACTTATTTTTAATGTAACCTATGAAATTTAGGATACAATCTGATCATATTATAACCCTAGATCTAGGGCAGGGTTCCTCATTTCTGGTCCTAGACAGCCAGATGTAGAATAAATTGGGGACACATGAAATGTACGCCACTTGGAGAAATACTACAACAATAATAAAAACAACAATATAAATATGTGGGGAAAAAAAGTGAGAGACCAACCCTGAGCAGCTCTTCTGGCAGGTCTCCTCCATCATTAATGCCTCTGTTCATGGAGATGAAGCGCTCTACTGTGGGCTTGTCCTTAACGTTTGGGTTGTGAAGGCTGGTGTTTAACATGATGATGGCGAAGGACAAAATGTAGCATGTGTCTGCATAAAAAAAAAAACACATGACACTGTCACACTGACATTCAGCATCTGATCATAGCATTTTCCAGCACTGAGACACACTAGCCTGAATATGAAGCTATTTAAATATTTCATGCTCGTACTGTAACTCGCATGAATGCTAATGAGTAGTATGATTGTGAAGTTACTGAGGGCGATCATGACATGAACATCCAGAATGGAGAAGTGTCTATACCTCTACAGCAAAGAGACCAATGAGAGAACTCGGTTGTAAATATATGCGTGAGGGATTTCAAAACATTACAAGTATTTACACACAATACAATTTCTGATGCCATTTGCCTGAATTTGCTTTATGTTGGCTACTGGTAAATGGCATTTATTTAGAGAAGAATGCATATGTCCAATTCAATACTTCAAACTCTCAATTTGTGAGCATTACTGGGAAAAACAGAGCTCGTGCTTCTTAGAAATGCTATGAATGCATGTTTGAACGCTAAACACAGACTCAAATGGAAATAGACCCACCTGTGGACTGGAAGACGCCGGGGTTGCATTGGCAGTAGCGCTGGGCAAACGCCTCCATCATTCTGTCGATCTTCTGGGCCTCACCAGGAAGTCTGAAACTCCAGAGAAACTGCCTGTGTGGAGACAAACATCACAATGATATTTAAAACATGTACTACACCAGGACATTCAAAGTGAGATGCGTAGGAGTGTGTGCGTCAGGATCAATCCCCTAACCAATGAGACTAAACTACACAAGAATCTTCTGGAAAAAGACATATAGTTATATTTATAATGAAATGTCAGTGTACTTATTTTTTATACAGTAATTACAGAAGTCATATACTAGTATGTTTTCAAATATATTAAATATTTCAAACAACAGCTGCTTCTACAGTCAGTTTTACCTGAGAGCCTGAACCAGGTTCAAATCTGTGAACTCGTGCAGCTCCACAAAAGCGTGAAGGACTTGGATATTGAAGTCATCCCTGTTGAACAATTCGAATATGAGAGCAAGTAGTAAATAACATTTAGCAGACACTTTCATCCAAAGCAACTTACAGCACACTTATTGGAGCAACTTATTTACCACACTTACTGAAGCTTAAAGAGATAGTTCATAAAAAAATAACCCAAACTCATGTTGTTTCAGACCCATAAGACTTTCGTTCATCTTATGTTTACCATATATTTATGTGCTCTGTGTATGTGCGTTTATAAATACGGTAACACTTTAGTATAGCGACCAATTCTCACTATTAACTAGTTGCTTATTAGCATACCTATTATTAACATATTGGCTGTTTAGTAGTACATATAACGAACATATTCTGCATGACCATATTCTACATCCCTAATCCTACCCAATACCTAAACTTAACAACTACCTTACTAACGATTAATAAGCAGCAAATTAGGAGTTTATTGAGGCAAAATGTGTAATTAATGGTTTGTTAATAGCAATAATTGGACCTTAAAATAAAGTGTGACCATAAACATTTCTAAGTGATTGAAAACCTAAATTATTATTAAATATTATATATATAAAAATGCTTCTCTCTTCAAAAGATTTGGATTAAACTGCTTGATTCACATGGATTACTTTTACAATGTCCTTATGAACTTTTTGAAGCTTGAACGTTTTGGTGTAATTGACTTTCAGTGAAGGGACAGAAATCGCTCGGGTTTCATTAAAAATATCTTCATTTGTGTTTCAAAGATAAACAGAAGTCTTACGGGTTTGGAACGACATGACGATGAGTGAATGACAGAATTTTCATTTTTGGGTGAACTATCCCTTTAAAGAACAGTTCAAAACCTGAATGACTTACTTTAATTAATGGAACACAAAAGGAGAGATTTTGAATAACGTATTGGCTGCTCTTTTACATGCAATGAGGATAAGCAAATTGGTCTTATGCCTTAAAATGATCTGTGGATCCAAATTCATAGTTCAGTCTCTTGCACAAGAGTTATTCGAGACAAAGTGGATGTGAGATCATTCAGCACTGCACCATTTTTCAAAACCTTGCCATTTAACCTCTACAAGCGGAGGATGTGATATCCCTCATGGGGCTGATGGCGATCTTGTCCTCTCTACACCCTTTCCCAGTGATCTGGTGACAGTGCACTCATGGAACAAAGCACTGCAGACCCCCTCCCTACCAGAGGAGCCGAAGTGCTCCGAGATACCATCTCATCTGCTGTCTTACAGAGCAGTGCTCTCGATTTCCTGACTTTTTCAGCAGCCACACCCAGACTGAAGCAGAAGAGAAAACAAGGAAGCGGAGGGAATGAAATCCAAGATGAGACAAAGAGGGGAAAAAAAAAGAATTCTTTCACAGATGCAACCATGTGACTAGGTGCTGCCCAGTGAACTAGAATAACACATTTAGTCCAGTTTGAGTCAACGTTCCTTAAAAATGAAGAGTCTAATGCTTAGAGTCAGTATAAAAGGGTAATCAAAGACGGATGCAGCTGAGATTTACAGAGCCAGGGCTCTACGCTTACTTTTCTTTTTAGGAGCGCTTGTGCTCCTAATTAAAAAAATTTAGGAGCACAGTCAAAAATTGAGGAGCACCTTCTAATCAGTAATCAAAAATTCTGATAAAAAAATGTACCTTCCCATTACGAGGTGATATTTGACTCCTTAAAGTGATTTACAGGGAATTTTGTTTTTACCTTTGTAATGGCATCAGGTGCTCCTAAATATTATTTCATAGTCGCACGCAGTAGTTTTCAGGAATGAAATGGTCGCACTGTAGAGCCCTGAGAGCAGAGCAGAGAATTTAGCACAAAGACCGGTTGACAGATATTAGGCTAAACCAAAGACTATAGGATACCCAAGACGTGTCACTTGTATAGTTTTGAATGGGGAAAAATGCAACGCTCAATATGGCTGCTCAATCGCAGGAAGCCCCGCCTTCTGAATGAAGGAGCCAATCGCTAATCGGTAAAGTCAGCGCGTCACTGCAGCTGCCTTTAGAAGTCCCGGCTGCTATAGAAACAGTCAACGCTCTGAGATGTGCGCTTAGGACTGCGCATGCGCACTGGCTGATCTAGCCTGAATAATAAGCTTTTTATAACACTATTTGAGCAAAATAAACAACATTTATGACACAGTTGATATCAGATTTCTTTGGTGATTTCAAATATTAAATTTAATCGCAAGCTTAGTGAACAGTTTTGTAGAATTTGATGTTTCCCCATTCAAAGAGATAGGAGTTGCACTTGCATGCCCGAGAGGCGTTTCAAAGATGGCCGCCGAGTGACATGACTTGTCTTAAAGAGACTTTGGCTAAACTAATGTTTCTACTGATGGTGCATTTAAAAGGTGTAGAACCGATCAAATGCTACTTACAAGTTTAAAGTCAAAATTATTCTGCAATAAGCATTTTGCTGATTCTAACACAACAATAATAAACAATAAACCGATAACGATAATTATCACAATATATTTTTCAATTATCAGCTCGGCTCAACAGCAGATGTGTTTACTCGCGACCAGCGCTGTGAGATCCGGCGAGAAGCGCTTGAATTCAGCGAAGAACACAAATGTCTTGGTGATTTAGTTCAAAGCCAGATGAATAGGCGCTGACGATCTCAACAGCACTAACAAACACAAGAAACACTGTGCCTGAACAATCCTATTAGAAGGCTTTTCCATGGATTTACTGTAGTAACACTAACTACACCATGGTATTGTGGCAGAAATGTGGGATATACATATGAAATCTAGTCAGATTGACCTCACGCATGACTCTCAAAGTGGCCGCATCAGTGGAAATCAAGTGCGTACGAGTAGTCTGTCAGGGGTCGCCCACTCACCTCTCCTCTGTGGAACCCAGGTTCTCGATCTCACTGGTCACTTCGGCGATCTCATCTTTCAGACGCTGTGGTGAGAGGACATGAGATGGTTCAAATCAAACGAGACTCCAGAGATAATAACGCCACACTACAGTGGTCGATAAAGATGAGAAATGAAACAAAAAGACATGCACATTGTGTTTGGAGTTGTGCCGTGAGTGAAACAAACCCAATTACAGTAATCCTGAAACACCGTGTCCTGAAAAGGTACTTTTTCTGTCTTCGCCGAAAGCGAAATTCAGCATGAAGCAACACAATCAGCCAATCAAAGTAGACTTCTCCTACCTTATTGTTGAAACTTACACTTATCTGTGTAACACTGTGTAAAGGTCTACTAGAAGAGAGCACTGTGTCCTGTCCCACCTCACCGAGGCCTGACATTAACAGCTCAAATCTCATTCCAGCAGATGAATCGTTTGCGCTAGACTGCTCTGTTTGAGATAAATGCCATTAAAGGAGGACAACTGGAGAATGGCCCCAGAGTAAAGACTAGAGACATCAAAATTTGATTATTTTACCATAGATTAATGGAGTTAGGATACAGGCCCAAGAGTTTAGTGGCGGTCTGGAGCCAGACTGGTCCTGAGGTCACACAATGAAGAGTTTTCCCTCCTCGTATTCATTTTTTCTGTTTAACCACCAACTGCCCGGTGAAATTCGCTCAAGTGTTTGTTCTTGTCTGTTTATACAGTACGTCTAAAAAAAACACTAGCAAAGAAAAAGCTGTTTTTGCTTTCCCAGACCTTCGTCTTCCCAAAGGAAAACAGAACCACTTCTGTCAGAAGACCTTAACATGTAGAAGTTTGGTTTAGAAAGGGTAGGTAGGGTAGGCTTGATGTAAACGGATTGGGCTGCAGGAAATTATCCCATGGAAAACTGAAGGAATTTTAAGTGAGTATGTAGTATACTGGAGGTCAGTGCCATGCCAGGATTGTGTCATAGCAGTAGAGCTGAAAGTGATCAGCGTTTAGCTCATGTATGAGTGTCCTTTCCTAAACAATCCCACCTTGAGTCATTTCCTCTTTGGACAAACTGTGTTCATAGTTAGTGACTCACTGGTCAGATTCTACATTATCACCACTTTTATACAACATATGTGACCCTGGAGCACAAAACCAGTCTTAAGTCACACAGGTATATTTGTAGCAATAGCCAACGATACATTGTATATGTCAAAATTATCGATTTTTCTTTTATGCCAAAAATCATTAGGATATTAAGTATATTCCATTAAGATATTTTGTAAATTTCCTACTGTAAATATATTAAAACTTAATTTTTTGATTAGTAATATGCATTGCTAAGAACTTCATTCTGAGGTCACACAATGAAGAGTTTTCCCTCCTCGTATTCATTTTTTCTGTTTAACCACCAACTGCCCGGTGAAATTCGCTCAAGTGTTTGTTCTTGTCTGTTTATACAGTACGTCTAAAAAAAACACTAGCAAAGAAAAAGCTGTTTTTGCTTTCCCAGACCTTCGTCTTCCCAAAGGAAAACAGAACCACTTCTGTCAGAAGACCTTAACATGTAGAAGTTTGGTTTAGAAAGGGTAGGTAGGGTAGGCTTGATGTAAACGGATTGGGCTGCAGGAAATTATCCCATGGAAAACTGAAGGAATTTTAAGTGAGTATGTAGTATACTGGAGGTCAGTGCCATGCCAGGATTGTGTCATAGCAGTAGAGCTGAAAGTGATCAGCGTTTAGCTCATGTATGAGTGTCCTTTCCTAAACAATCCCACCTTGAGTCATTTCCTCTTTGGACAAACTGTGTTCATAGTTAGTGACTCACTGGTCAGATTCTACATTATCACCACTTTTATACAACATATGTGACCCTGGAGCACAAAACCAGTCTTAAGTCACACAGGTATATTTGTAGCAATAGCCAACGATACATTGTATATGTCAAAATTATCGATTTTTCTTTTATGCCAAAAATCATTAGGATATTAAGTATATCTTAATATCCTAAAAAATAGATGTTCCATGAAGAATTTCCTATTGTAACTATATCAAATATATTAGTAATATGCGCTGCTAAGGACTTAATTTGGACAACTTTAAAGGAACACTCCACTATTTTTGAAAATAGGCTCATTTTCCAACTCCCCTAGAGTTAAACGGTTGAGTTTTACCATTTTCAAATCCATCCAACCGATCTCCGGGTCTGGCGGTAGCACTTTTAGCTGTAGCTTAGCATAGATCATTGAATCGGATTAGACCGTTAGCATCTCGCTCAAAAATGACCAAAGAGTTTCTATATTTTTCCTATTTAAAAATCGACTCTTCTGTAGTTACATAGTGTACTAAGACCGCCTGAAAATAGTCCCCAGCACGCTCCCTGCAAGCAGGTGGTCACGTTGGTTATGTTGATGGAAGTTAGCCTATTTTCAGGCGCTGCGTAAAATGGTTCATAGGATGTATCTCACTCCTAGGAAACGATATTTAATGAAGCTTTCTTCATCTTCCAATTGTAATTTCTGCTCAGGAAACTCTATAGGAACCTATAGACATATGTTTTGGGATTGCCCTGAAGTTAATCATTTCTGGAAACAGGCATCTAAGACTCTGAAGGACATACTGGAAGTTGATATATCATGCTGCCCTAAGCTTTTGCTTTTAAATGATGACTCATCTTTCGGTTTCTCTCGGTCTCAGAAAAAATTGTTATTCTCTGGATTAACTGCAGCAAAGTTCCTTGATTATTACGCCGGAATGAGAGTATAGTTCCTAGCCATATCGGCCTAGAAAATCACAACTTTTCATTTTCCGTTGTTCTTGGTACACGATGTAACTACAGAAGAGTCCAGTTTTAAATAGGAAAAATATAGAAACTCTTTGGTCTTTTTTGAGCGAGATGCTAACGGTCTAATCAGATTCAATGATCTATGCTACAGCTACAGCTAAAAGTGCTACCGCCAGACCCGGAGATCGGCTGAATGAATTCGAAAACGGTAAAACTCAACTGTTTAACTCTAGGGGAGTTGGAAAATGAGCTTATTTTCAAAAATAGTGGAGTGTTCCTTTAAAGGCGATTTTCTCAATATTTTGATTTTTTTTTTTGCAAGCTCAAATTCCAGATTTTCAAATAGTTGTATCTCAGCCAAATACTGTCCTATCCTAACGAACCATACATCAATGGAAAGCTTATTTATTCAGCTTTCAGATGTATCAATTTAAAAAATAATTGACCCTTATGACTGGTTTTGTGGTCCAGGGTCACATATATTTTTAGATTCCTGAAGTTCTTTAATACCAGCTGAGAGATAAGATGAAATAATATTATAACTAATGCTTTTTTATTTTTTTATTTAAGCAACTTGGCACATTAATACAGAATGTGAATTTCAACAGAATGCTTTCAAAATAAAATAGTAAGAGTAAAACATGGGACACCAGTCTGTGTTTGTTTTCTCTAACTTGCCATAAACGTCATTTTTGGGAGAATTTTAAATACCATAATGTTGGTATTTCAAATTTCTAAATCTGGTTTACGTCAAATTTCTGTTTCAATGTCATTCTGTTAGCCATTTAGTTGCTAACAGGGCACTGCTTGCTTCAGCAAATCTCTGATGTGTAAATAAACCTTTAATAAAAGATCAGAAGATATTCCGCTAAACTGAGTGGAGGACAGATGCAGAGGCGGCTCACAGTCTCTGAAACATTCAATGCTTCAGTAAGGAGAAAAAAACATTACTATAAAAACAAAGAGCCTCCACTACACATGCAGCTAAAACATTTGGCTCATATCGGAGCTGGAGTTGAATGAATGAATGATTCACCCCAGTTCTTCATTACCTGAATGTCCTCCAGCAGCTCCTGCTTTCGCCGGCGGATGTTTTCCAGCTCTTTCTGCTCCTCAGGTGTGAGGTCGTCAGGCACTGAGGACAAGAGAAAAAAACATGTTTTTTGTCAGCCAAACAATTTGAAATGTTCTGATAATGTCGTAGTGCTGATTACAAGCTACCAGGGGTGATATGATAAAACATTAGGTGAAAGAAAGGACCGTAGACAGAATCGACACAGTATTTTACTCTCTAGCCAGACGCCACAGTCCTTTTACAAACTTTCATTCACCGTGTCACATCTCACTCACAGCATCCTCCTGTAACCATGGCAACCCATCACCATTTCAAACCCCATCTGTGAGGGTGCTGAAAACTCGGTGGTCAAAACCACTCATTTCACAGCTGATAATCCTTCTTAAATATTCAGTTACACTTGAAATTAAAGGGATCATACAGTGAAGTTGAATTTTCTTACTGTAACACATAAAACTCAAAGCTTCCATCACAGTCCACTAAGATTAGGCTATTTAATAAAACTAAACTGCAAAAATATTTCTATCGTGGTTATAAATCACAACCGTAAGCATATGGCCGCCCATTTTATCACTAATTACTGAGTATTGAGCAGCTGAGCCACCCGAATGAATCTGTGTGAAGTACAACAATATGTGGAGGCCAGTAAATGAGATACAAAAAAAAGGTGACCATGAAAAACTACCAATGCTTTGGTGAAATTACGGAGACAACAGAGAAAAAACATATAGAGTTATGGGAATTACTTATTTCCATGTTTAAAAAAAAAAAAAGTACCGTATTGGCCCGAATATAAGACGACCCTGATTATAAGACGACCCCCCTTTTTCCCGATGTACCTTTTGGAAAAAGGCTTTTTAATAAAAACAAA